GGCCCCTTAACAATCTATTGGCCCATTCTATTGGCCCCTTAATGCCATACCCGATTACCAATCCAGCCCTGTTGTGGGTGATTCCCGTTTATATCATTAAGCAGAGGTTCAAACTCCAGTCCGAACACCACTGGCCATGAGCTTTGGGCTCTGCTCTCACGGAGAATATTTACTTATATAGCATATTTTATTTTAGATCAACTAGAAACAATGCTTAATTTATAAAGTTTTATTTTGAAATGTAAGTCAATAACAATTGGCCGAAGCCAGAGCCAATGATGAAAGTCTTAGCCCAAAGAGACCCCGCCCCATTTTGGAGGTTCTGCCCACTTTTGGAGTTCACGCCCCATTTTGGAGATCTCCGGTCTGCAGTTATACCTACTTGGAAATTCTCAGTTCCACCTGCTTCAACTTGCATGCCCGGGAAACTCATGAATATTCATGTATGCTCCGCCCACTGAAACCGAAAATCTCGGAGACCGAAAATCTCGTAACACCGGCGGTTAGGTAGAGAGGCTTAGAAAAAGGGGTTTGAGTTTCTAATATTCAACATTTAACCTGGTAAAAATATTTATTTAATGTTATTTGTGTTATATTTAATCTGCAACAGCAATGTAAACTTTTATAAACATCCGTTTGGTCGTTAACTTTTAAATGCATCATTATGCATAAAATATGAGACTGGCAGATGTGCTAGGCTACTTCTTTTCTCTCCAATACGGTAGGAAGTTAAATGAAATGCAATGTGGAGGATGTTAACTGTGACAAGATGATTGACAGGCCAGTTTACAGTGACAGGGTGACAGGTGCGACAGAGTGGTCCTTTATTAAAGACGCAGTTGTGTGACGTAAGAGTGTGTACTTTTTCTTCACCAAAAGAGTACATACTTTAAGGGCGTAGTGTGAGTAGGCACACGGGTTTTCGTGCCCTGTGGGTGGAGCCACAGTCTCACGGAACTTTGAACGCTTGGTTCTCAATATTCATAAGCCTTCCTGACTACAGTAGAAGAAGTGAACGCAACGTATGCTAAATTAATATTTATAAGCCGTTTTTGCTATTGGAAGGACATTAAAACATTACTTAATTAATATTTACGATCTAAAATTTCTCATAGTAGGTTTCCTAACTCCGTTGCCTCGCTGCTAAAGACAAACTTCCTTTGGGTTTGTACTACGAGTAACTGTTAGTTAAACAACAATCATCAAATCGACTTGTTTGTTGTTTCACTTTCAGAAGGAAACATCTGACAACACAAATGTAAGTTATTTACGTTATTCACATCACTGATCACATTAATTGCATCAGCTTAATTAGCTTTTTTAGTGATCAGAAAGAAATGTGCTTTAAAAAAATAAAAATTATTTAGTTCTGAAGGCGCTTGAGCGTTTTTTTTTAAATGCCAAATGGATTTAGATAACAAGATGTAAGATGTGACTGTAAATGCCACTAAAGAGAATCAATAAGAGTCTGTGTGTTGTTTTGGAAATGTCTGGGAAATAACTCTGGCAAAAAATTAGGTTTTGACTCATTTTTAGGTGGCTGTGATAGTCTAAAATTCATAATATAAAGCTAGAGAAGAGTGCCATAACTCTTGACAAGTCTTCTTTCATAATGTGCTGTCATGGGCTTGTCCCAGACTGACCTACTTTCTAGGATACTGCAATCTTCAAGCAACTGACTCCTGAGAGGCCTGGCCTTCAGTTATCAAGCTGTTAGATGTTTGTAAATCCAGATATTTGTGATCATTATGGCTTAAACATCTAGATTAAGAAAGAAGCAAACAAGTTATCTTTTGGTGCTTTAGATGAACTTGTTACACCTGTTGTTTTAAAGGGCAAGCTTTAGGGGAAGTGTCTTTGAAAACACATACTGTATTTTTGGGGTAATTCCTAACAGAATACAGTAGTCATCCACTGTATGAGTCATTTTTATGAATAGTTGTAGTAACATCAGTGAGTGTGTGTGTATGAGATTGTGATTGTAATATGACAAAATCATGGAAAAGGGAAATAAAGCATAATGTGATACTATGATGCAACATGAGAAAAACACTTACAGTAACTCAACAGTAGTTCAAATAAAATCTACATAATTTCCTCATGTTATATTTCTTGGAATTACAAGAGAATGTGTCAATCTAACATACATTCTATAACTTTTATTAAGATTGCTGGAAATGTGAATCATTATTTATCAGTAGATCTGTTTCTTTTGTCTCCCTTTAGTGACCATGTCGGACTCTGTGGACGCCAGACAAGTGAATGCCAAAGAGTATGTGTGAAGTTAATGAAAGTTAATTAACTACAGCACTTTAATTACAAGGATCAGGCATACAATATGCAGGTTTGGTTTTAAAGGAATAGGTCACCCAATACTGAAACATTTCTGAAAAATAGATGAGATGTTTGTTTCTTCATTGGAAGAGATTTGGATAAATGTAGCATTACATCAGTTGCTCTCCAAAGGATTTTCTGCAGTGAATGGGTGCCGTCAGAATGAGAGTCCAAACAGCTGATAAAAACATCACAATAATCCACAAATATCCACACGGCTCCAGTCCATCAATTATTGAATTCTGAAGCAAAAAGCTGTATAATCTATTCTGTATATAACTGTATAAAGCTATAAATAATTCCATGAAACAGTTAAAATATTAGTCTTCTATCCATAATACTGCTTTCTCCAGTGTAAAAGTTGTCTTGTCTGAATCAGAATAGAAATATGCATGAATCAAAAAAACGTTTACTAGTGAAAACAGTCCTAAACAATTGTAAACAAATATGTTGGTGTATTTTGATGTGAGAAGACAACAAGGGGTGGACTTTTTTACTGGAGGAAGCATTATTATGGGTTATGGATGTTCATAATTGTTTATCAGCTGGATTCTCATTCTGACGGCACCCATTCAGGATCCACTGGTGAACAAGTGATGTAATGCTACATTTCTCCAAATCTGATGAAGAAACAAACTCATCCACATCTTGGATGGCCTGAAGGTCAGAATATTTTCAGCAAATTTTCATTTGTGGATGAACTTTTCCTTTTAAGTCAAAATTCGAGCAACCCATTGTTGTTAAAGGAATCACTGAACAAAATCATCACATTGTGAAGTTAATGAAAGTAACTTTGTGTGAACCCTATGAATCTGGCTATACAAGTGGGATACATTCAAGCATTGCTTTAAATAATGACTTAAATTTGGGTCACATAAAGACATACTGGACACATGTCACACATACTGGACACATACAGGATGATAGAATGTACATTTTTGGGTGATTTATTCCTTTAATTTCACATTGTGAAGTTAATGACATTAACTGCTAAATAACCACTTTTTAATTACCACTTCCTGAAGTGACTGTAAATAATTTCCACATTAATTATGAATGCATTATAAAAGTCTCTTTGTTTGCACAGGGATACGTATCTCACAGATGCCGGAGTCGATCAGACGGATGCCAAACCACATTCAGATGTTTTTCAGTACAACATGAACTACCCCAGTCTGGGTCAATGTGTCATCATCAACAACAAGAATTTCCATAGAAAAACAGGTAAGAGCTGGAACTAACACTGACCAGTTAAACAAGTTAGTACTAATGTTCTAATTTTTTTTTTTGTTTTTTTTTTGAACAGGAATGGGAGTTCGTAATGGGACAGACCAGGATGCAAAGAATGTGATGGAGACCTTCTCAAATCTGGGCTTCACAATGAAAATGAGCAATGATCAGACTGTCTCACAGATGAGAGATCTGTTAACTGAAGGTATTTTTTGCAAGATGCTGACTGAGCCTGAATAGTGATTGGTTACAATGATTGAATCAGTCAAATCACAAACTCATGAATTCTTCCATCCTCAGTGTCTCGGGAAGATCACAGTCATTCGGCCATGTTTGTGTGTGTGTTGCTGAGTCATGGAGATGATGGTAAGATATTTGGCACAGATGACTTTATCGAGCTGAAGCAACTGTTTACGCTCTTCAGAGGAGACCGCTGCAAATCACTGGTGGGGAAACCCAAGCTTTTCTTCATTCAGGTGAGCTGAATGATAATATAGAAGAGTAAAATTTCTTTCTTTCTCAAAATGCTGTTATTGTAGTACCATTACTATTATAGTCTTTGTTAATATTTTGAATTAGATTTCTTAATACTTTCTACTTTTATTTTAATTTTAGTTAATGTTTTAATACTTTTGTTGTGTGCTTTTGTCATTATTATTATTTTAAATGTCTATATCATTTTTTTCATTCTTTTTATTTTTTTTATTTATTAGTGTTAATTTATTTGATTTTAGTTAATTTAGTACTTATAGTAAGTTATATTCATTGGAAATGAGAAATGTTGCCTTGGCAGCTAGCTGAAATAAAAATGTTTAGGTGTTTAATATTTTATTTTATTTGATTAACTTGACGTTTATTTTTAAGTTTCAAATAACTTGAGTGATTTTATGGTTTTAGTTTTAGCTAACAAAATAATTCTGCTTGGCAAGATATTTTACAATTAATAAAAACTAAATATATTGTCTCTTATCTATTAAAATATATTTTAAAATTGTACATATTAATAAAATTATTAAAAAAAAATAAAGGAATAGTTCACCCAAAAATGAAAATTTGCTGAAAATGTACTCAACCTCAGGCCACCCAAGATGAGTTTGTTTCTTCATCAGAACAGATTTGAAGAAATTTAGCATTACATCACTTGCTTAGCAATGAATCCTCTGCAGTGAATGGGTGCCGTCAGAATAAGAGTCCAAACAGCTGATAAAAACATCACAAAAATCCACAAGATGTTGACTAATGGACTGGAGATGTGTGGATTATTGTGATGTTTTTATCAGCAGTTTGGACTCTTATTCTGACAGCACCCATTCACTGCAGAGGATCCATTGCTGAGCAACTCATCTACATCTTTGATGGCCTGAGGGAAACTCATTTTCAAGGAAATATTCATTTTTGTGTGCACTATTCCTTTAAAAACGTACACTCCTTCTTGTATTTCCTGTTAAAACATGGGCGTATTGACGGGCTCTTTAGCCAATAGAGTTTTGTTCACTAACATGCAGAAATGCTAATTATACGACATAAATAGCTTCCACTATTTTGAGATGAATAGCTTTTATATGAACTGCAAACTGTACTGGACAGAACACTCACTCTAATGATGAACAGACTGTGCATGTGTAACATCGATAATGACCGTTTTAAAGGCCAATTTTGATTTGACAAGCTGTTTAAATTTATAGTTTAAGTTGCTCTTACACAGATGTTTGAGTGTGTTTGTCCTGTGTGTCTCCAGGCTTGCAGAGGCTCAGATCTAGATGCTGGCATTGAGGCCGACAGCGTAAGTGAAGAGGAAACACAGAAGATTCCTGTTGAGGCAGATTTTTTGTATGCCTACTCCACTGCACCAGGTAACTAATATCCTGTTCTAAATTTTTTCTTGAGATCCAAATAAGAAAATGCGTAGATGCAAATGCCCTAACTATCTTGTTTTCTGTCTGTCCTCAGGTTATTACTCCTGGAGGAACGTTGCTAATGGTTCCTGGTTCATCTCCTCGCTGTGTGAGATGCTGTCAAAATATGGCAAGCGACTGGAGATCACGCAGATCATGACACGTGTTAACCACAAGGTGGCGCTGGACTTTGAATCCTCCTCCAATCTGCCAGGGTTTGATGGCATGAAACAGATACCATGTATTGTGTCTATGCTGACCAAAGAACTCTATTTCTCTAAATAATTCATGTGTATTTTACTGATTACGTTGCAGTGGATGCAAACACTTTTAAATCATTTTTAATAATATTATGCAGCCATTTAAAGCACTGCAGACTGCAGTAGGGATATACAGGGAATTTTAAGAGAAACACTGGATTTCAATACACTATTATCTGAGTTTTTGAAATGATCTGTATCTTTTTCATCCTGGTGTGTGGCATGTTTACAGTGCTGGATTTGACACAGACAGCTCCTTTAGGATCTTTATGCACATTTAGGCTGTCAGTCATCATTTGTGCCTTGCTTGCTTTGACTTGTACGTGCAGATGTCTGTGAGTCTGAAAGTTCGCAATTCTCAGGTTTATCATCAGCATGCATTAAAGATTCTTTGACAAGAGGAAGTTCTGAACATAAACACTATTTGTATTATGATAAATAAACATTTTACTTTGGTATTTAGTTTGTGCATTTTGTGTAATTTGCTTTGAGATTCTAAAGTTAAGCAAAATGCAGAAAAAAAACAGGGCTACTAAAAACATTAATGCATATGTATAGTATACATTAGTACACATATAGTATACATTGTATACTTATAAATATATATATATATATAAGTATACAAAGGAGATGAATAATTTAATTCAGCAAGGATGCATTAAACTGGTCTAATCTCACCATAAAGACATTTTATAAATGTTGTTCTTTTGAACTTTCTATTTTATCAGAGAATCCTGAAAAATGTATCATGGTTTCCACAAAAATATTAAGCAATGACAATTTTAACATTGATAATAATAAGAAATGTTTCTTGTACACCAAATCAGCATAAGGTTATTCACACCACATATTGATTTATTTACAAGAAGTGAAGTGATAAAAACTATTAAAGGAATTATTTTTCAAAAGAAAAAAAAGATTACAGCATTTTTCATAAGTGTCTAAAACTATCTTGACTTCATTCATCTGCTTGAAAGCAGCGTTATTTTAGTATCATTGAGATACTATAGTTTTAATTCATTTGAATTAGAATTTATTTTTATGTTCATTTTAGTTAAAGTTTTAGTTTCGTTTAGTTTTAATTTCTACATAGTTTCTATGTAGTTTTTATTAATTTTATTTCAGTTTTAGTTATTTCATTACATCAAGTTAAATGAAAATCGGAAATTTTGCCTTGGCAACTAGATGAAACAAGCAGGTTTAAATTTTAATATTTAAATTTTATTTCAGTTAACGTTTATTTATTTATTTATTTTAACGTTTATTTATTTCTTAATTTCCCCCCAAGGAATGAACATTTTTTTTGATGGTTTTATTTTTAGTTAATTATAAAAGCCCTTTTTGAGGGACTTGCATTACGAGATACCACCAGTCTTAACCACAAGGTGGTGCTCTGTTCTCAGATCCCAGCCGAGTGCTTAAAAACAAGGTGTGTTCCTGAGAAATGCAACTGAAAGCAGAACAACTCCCTGAAACTTTACCTTATTTCTGTTTCAGTCTTCTTTCTCAATCATCCGTCAAGCTGTTTCCTTTTCGTGTTTGTTTTAATTCAAAAATATATACGGGGGGAAACATGGATGCTATAAGAAAAGAAGATTGATTTTAGAAATGCTTTAGGCCTGTTTTGCAATTATGGTACTCTTGCAAAGAATATCTGAGTCCAATGTATTATTTAAATGGGGTTTGTGTTGTTAGAGTCGGTGTGTTGCATCATACGCTGGGAGTTGCAGGGCTTGGCAGCATAGATAAGATATGAGACTCTCTCTCTCTCTCTTTCTCTCTCTCTCTCTCTCTCTCTCTCTCTCTGTGTGTGCGTGTGTGTAAAGACCCTGTTTTTATACAGTCTATGGTAAAGACACAATGAGGATAGAATTGCACAGCTAGAATGCTTTTAACAACTTGCATTGCTTCTCTCATCTCTACAGCTCAAGATCTTTCTGGAAATGTCATACCAGCTACAGTCATGGACAGAAGTATTATATGCACAACAAATAAAAACATGCAAAAGATGAATGCAATGTTGCATACAGCAATACACAACATATGCATATACACATATGTGATATAGCGTAAATGAAATCTCAGAAACATGAAACTCTTGGACAACGATTTTCTATTCACACATAACAACACTAAAGTGCGATATCATGTTTGCATGTTGCAACTTAAAGTTTCTTTCTGCCTGCTTCGCCTTTAAGAAGCAATAACGAAACAACGAGGAAGTGAAAATGAAATCGACTTTCGCATTTCAGCCTGCAGCCAATGAGCAGACCAGCGCAAAAACTACTATGGCAAAAGCTTAGCTAATAAATATTTAGTAGGTCCAGAGACGTTGCTCGGGTTGAACTCTCTGCAGCGTCCGGTAAATGTGGATTTCAAAGTATTTTATAGTTTTACATGTAGTATTGCGAAATAAACAAAGCTGTTAAAGGGAAAAATAATAAAATAAGGTACAAGTGATGTTCATAAAAATAATTACAATATACAATAATATAGCAACAAAGCATTGGATTTTATGTTTTCGTAATATTTACGAGCAATATCATATGTATATATTTTTGGGTGGGGTAATACATATGGATTTGTGTTATTTGTATTAGGCAATCAAGTTACATTTGGAAAAGAAAACTAATTCTTAAAACTACTCAAATATAGAAAGAGTCGATGACGGCCACCCACCTTTCTGCCGCTCAGCCAATCAGTGCGCGAGCGTCTCGCTACGTAATTAATATTCATGAGCTAAGCCTTCCCCGTGACGGCGTTCTTTCCTTGACTGCCTCCTACGTTTATTATATCTACACGCCCTATTATGAAGTTGTCTGTATGCCAGCCAATCAGCTTGCGAACGTCTCGGCTACGTCGTTAATATTAATGATCCAAACCCTGGCCGTAGTAGGATTTGTAAACACGAAGTAAGCGCACAACACACACTCACACACACGCACACTGGGGATTTCCACCCAAGAGCTTGTTTCCTTCACTTGTTTTGCTTTCGATCTGAAGAGCGAAATCAAACCCATTTGACTTTTCGTTTTGTTATCGAGAACTACAAATTGTCAAGATTCTTCATACACTCTTTGCTTTTATCACTAGAGTGATTTCTACGCGTCGCAGGTAATTAATTGCATTTCCGCATGTATTTATGGGGCTCATGCATATATTATATATATATATATACGAGTGGATGTTTATGCTGTAGGCCACGTAGAGTTGCTGGGGTGAGTGTAAAATCGAAAGTCATGGTGTGTTTGGATCCAATGGGAATCAAGGAATGTTTATTTTCACTATCGAGTTTAGTTGACAACACTATCACACTTATTTGGGGAGGTTGAATTCATCTGATTTAGTGTGCTGTAAGAATGATTGGGACACTGCAATGTAACTTCACCGTAAGTACTGAGCAGAACTGATAAATAACGCCTTTTTAATGTCAAATTATGTTGTTGAGAAGTTTGCACGGACGTGTGGATATTATTACTACCAATTGCACTATTACTACCCTGGATATTGTTACTGTTATTGACTTACATGGACATGTGCTGGGTATAACATGGGCACTGTAATGGAAATGATCTGTCATAAACCGGTGCACCAATATCTGAATCCAGATGTTGTTTGAAAATACGATAAATATAGCTTAAAATTCTTATAACATGAATGTTTGGTAATAAAATGCAATAAACTAAAATTAATAGTTATTTGTCAATTTCAGATCATGTGATGATTGAATGTGGGCATTACAGTGTTAAAATATATAGTATGAAAGACTAACATACAGACGAATAGTTAATGAGAAAGTTGAATAGCTTACATAAATAGTTTAGATGAGAAGTTTCTTTAAGAAATAGTGCTCATTCTTTGCTGTCATCTAATGCTATTCATTTATGTTGGCACTGTATGATGGCAGAATTAGTTTACCATCTAGAAACAGACAGAAACAAATTTCTTATATGTTCAATATTAACCAATATAAATAAACTAAAAAATCACTAACAGCAGCTATATGTGACCAATATATCATGCATCCCTACTTTTTTGTGTGGTTTTATGTATATTTCAAAATATAGCTTTTTTTATTTCTTTTTCTTTTTTGGGTTCATAATTGTGCCTATCTGTGCTTATGTTATATGTAGTGTGCAGTGTAATTCCTGTATGTTGTTGGTCTATGTTATGATTGCCTTTGCTCACTCTCATTTCCCAATGGACCATAAAAGCTCAAAGGTCTGAGCGACAAACATGATTTTAAAGCGTGAGTTTTCATTGTGATTAACTATAAACCTTTTTATGAGCTTGAATTGGTTAATCGGTAACTTGTGATTTGTGCTTTGTCAAATGAAAACAGATCAAGAAACATCAAGTACTTCTCATGTCTGTCATCTTGCATGATTGATATTACAGGTTTGCCCACATGTACTCCATGTACTCTTAGATAAACTCACTCTCTCTCTCTCTCTAACACACACACAAACACACACACACACACACACACACACACACACTCCAACATCCTCTATTTGTTGTCAATCATGTCCTGACTCTCGCTTTCATGAAATCCCAAATATGAATCATATCTCATAATCATTTTGTTTGCAGTAACTTTCAGTAAATTGTGATTCAGATGGTCTCTGATGGAGGTTTGTTTTTAGAAATAGGGTTAAAGTTTGTCATCGTGCTTCCTAGATATAGAATGTACAACCTGTTGAAGGAGAAAAAGTTGCTGTCAAACTTTGACACATTCCAGATCTCTCTTTGACTCTCTCTCTTTCTCTAGGCCAGCATGCCGGTGGAGAGAATGCGTATGAGACCATGGTTGGAAGAGCAGATAAACTCTTGTCAAATACCGGGGCTCAAATGGGTGAACAAGGTACTGTGACTGTGTTTAAACTTGTCTTTTTACTGCATTGTTTTGTTACAACTACACATGCCATGAGCAAGATGCTATTGTTTGTGAAGCATTTTGTCATGTAAATGTGACTGTGTGCACAACCGCAGTGCATTTAGGGTGTGTCTTGGCTTGTGACATGTTTTGCATGTTCTTTGCCTGCAGGAGAAGAAACTATTCCAGATTCCATGGATGCATGCTGCGCGACACGGCTGGGACGTGGAGAAAGATGCTCCGCTCTTCCGAAACTGGGCCATCCATACAGGTGCAGTCAGCACGCAGACTGTCATATGTGCACATAAATGCACATATACTTACTGTACAAACAGAACGTTCTTAAAATGTAAGGATGCGATTGTGAATATTCAAACTAGATCTAGATCAAACTAGGTCTCATTTTTGTTAGAACAGTTTGAATGGCGCTGACCTATTTGCGAAGATGATATAGTAGTTGTTGGCATGCTGAATTGCATTTGCTAGGGAGTTATGAATGGTTGCTAGGGTTTCTAGATGGATTTTAGGGTGTTCTTCTTGGTGGTCGCTAGGGTTTTGCTTGTTTGGATTTTGCTAGGGTTTTGGTTGCTTGGATATTCTGGATCGGGTGGTTGCTAGGGTTTTACTAGTTGGTTACCAGGTTGTTCTAGGTGGTTGCTATGGTTTCTAGGGTATTCTTGGTTGGGTGGTTGCTAGGGTTTTACTAGTTGGTTACTGGGGTGTTCTAGGTGGTTGCTATGGTTTCTAGGGTATTCTTGGTTGGGTGGTTGCTAGGGTTTTACTAGTTGGTTACTGGGGTGTTCTAGGTGGTTGCTATGGTTTCTAGGGTATTCTTGGTTGGGTGGTTGCTAGGGTTTTACTAGTTGGTTACTGGGGTGTTCTAGGTGGTTGCTATGGTTTCTAGGGTATTCTTGGTTGGGTGGTTGCTAGGGTTTTACTAGTTGGTTACTGGGGTGTTCTAGGTGGTTGCTATGGTTTGGCTTATTGGTTTCTAGGATATTCTTGGGTGGGTGGTTGCTAGGGTGTTCTGGGTGGTCGCTAGGGTTTTACTTGTTGGTTCCTAGGGTATTCTGGATCGGGTGGTTGCTACGGTTTTACTAATTGGCTACTGGGGTGTTCTAGGTGGTTTCTATGGTTTCTAGGGCATTCTTGGTTGGGTGGTTGCTACGGTTTTACTAGTTAGTTACTGGGGTGTTCTTGGTGGTTGCTATGGTTTCTAGGATATTCTTGGGTGGGTGGTTGCTAGGGTGTTCTGGGTGGTCGCTAGGGTTTTATTTGTTGGTTCCTATGGTATTCTGGATCGGGTGGTTGCTACGGTTTTACTAGTTGGTTACTGGGGTGTTCTAGGTGGTTGCTATGGTTTGGCTTGTTGGTTTCTAGGGCATTCTGGGTTGGGTGGTTGCTAGGGTGGATACTTGTTGGTTGCTAGGGTGTTCAGGGTGGTTGCTGGGGTTTTACTTTTTGGTTCCTAGTGTATTCTGTGTTGGGAGGTTGCTAGGATTTTGCTAGTTTGGTTGCTAGGGTGTTTTGGGTGTTTATGGTCTAAGTCAGAAAAGTCCAACAATATGTCTCCATGATATTCCTATTCTTATCTATAGTTAGAGCTTCATTGAAAGTTTACAGCTAATAATGTCAATTCAGATATAAAGAGCTGAAGTGATAGTAAACTGTCATTCTGCATTATGTGTATCCAGTTTTTGACTGCCATTTTTTTTTAGGGAAATATCAACCAGGTGACAAACCGGACCCCAAAACATGGAAGGCGAACTTCCGCTGTGCAATGAACTCCCTGCCTGACATAGAGGAGGTGAAAGACAAAAGCATCAAAAAGGGAACAAACGCCTTCAGGGTGTACAAGATGCTGTCAGCGTCTGAGAGGCATTCAAAGAGAGGTCAGTCGATCACACATCAGTGCTGACACTGACTGCATCACAGAGACCAGCCTTCATTTCCTTCTGACACGCTGCACATAATGATGTGCAGTTTAAAGACATTTCTGTCATGTTTGTTTAATCACACCTAAGAATGGTGTGATCCCACTTAGTCTGCCTGTTATAACTATGATTTTCACTATGATCTGCGTCTAAAAAATGTGAAGATTTTGGGTGAATCTCACAAAAGCTGAAAATATGTTTGTCATATTTCACCTACAAAATATATCAGAAAGAAATAAGAAATTATTTCATGCATGAATAACTTTGAATTTAATTATTTTCCCCCTACATTATTTTCATGAAAATTAAACGCATTTAATCACACACACACACACACACACACACACACACACACACACACACACA